CGCCCACCTCCCACGGAAGGCAGGGCGCGTCTCGGTGCCAGCTTGGTGCGGCGCGGTCCCAGCTGAGCTGCATCCACTCGCCTCGCGCACAGCACAGCTGAGACCGTTTGTCTGATCCCGCAGGCCGTCGGTCGGTCCCTTGGCGCAGAAGAAAAGAGGCGGTTTCCTTCCCAGTGACCATTAGTTCCAGTTGTCTGTTGCCCTGTGTGTAATGGCAATGCTTATGTCACTCTTACAGGTGGCGCCGTTAGGCCGAAGCCGGTCTTCCTGCCTTGCGGAGAGTTTAGGGGGAAACGCTGCAGCCTGGGCCCCTGCCTCCCAGGGCCGCAGTGTGAGACCTCCGCCATCCGGGGGAGATTTGGTTCCTTTAGCTGATCCCCCCTCTGGGCGAGCCCATCAGTCAGTGCGAGAACAGAACTGTGCGCCATAACAGTTCAGTGACTGGGTTTCTTTAGTTTTTATTTTTTTGGAAGTAGATCATCAGGCCTTTCTTCCAAAGTGCCTCTGGGCGCCCTTGAACCGCCAACCTCGAGGTCAGCAGCGAGCACATTAACCATTTGTGCCCTGGTCACGGAGATCTGCAGGTGAAACCCCCCTAGCCACTCTGCCGAAGAAAGATGCATGAAGCCGCCCTCTCCATTCAAGAGTTACAGCCTGGGGTGCCCAAAGAGCCAGTGCTACTCCGCCCTGGCCCGTGGCTACGAGTCAGAACTGACACCACGGAGATGAGGTTCTTTATTATTAATTTTGGGGGTGGGGGTGAGGGATTCCCTAGAGAATTAGGGGAGCCCAGTGAAGTGATACATACTCCAGCAGACAAGTAAGCACAGGGCTGGAATCTGGATCCAGAGGTCTGATGGTGGGTTTCTGAAGAGAGGCAAACAGGACTTCCCTAACAAAAGCCTCTGAACTCCTTGGTGGGTGCATGGTTCCCTCTCGCCAAGATTCCCTCTAAAACGCTGTCCCTCCCTGTGGATATGCAGATCCTCTCCCCAGAATAACTGCCCTGCTCTCTGTCTCCCTTCCTGACCAATGGCATCCTGTCCCACTGCTGCCCCTCCTCCTCTGGGGAGTGGAGGGGACCCTTATGTTTGTTGTCTTGCCCCCCAAGAACCAGTCCCCACTCCCCACAACACCCTTCCAAAACTATGATGAAGTACTCCATGGACTTGCTCTGTAGACAAGTGCCTTGGGCTG